GAAACTTCTAAGATATTATTTAAAGATAATGAGTTCTTATTCACACATTTAAGCTTCCATGCTTTTAGACTCAAATCCCATATATTTAGTCCAGGATATCTCTAAAATAAGCTGTTTGATTATTTTTCTAGTAGCATATTATTGTCCTGTGTATATACAACCTTTTTTGATTTTTCAGATTACAGTCTTTGGGGAAATCGGCAGAGAATGCTGAGAGATTATGTGACTCTATAATTAATCCCCAAATGTTGCTTTGTATATGTCAAAGTTTAGAAATCAGAACCACAGTGTAGGAACTGTGGGTGGTCTGTGATCAAAGGCCCTTGGTTCATATTTCACACCCCTCCCCCAGTGAGTGGGGCCAAGATGGGCCAGTAAACATTTTTTTTTTTTTTGCCTAAATTACATGACCACCCACTTTTACCTCTGACCCTGGTCATCCAATGTGTGCCATTTGTCACAGAGTGGAAGAGTCAGTGTGGAGGTTTTAGTATCCTTTCCTTAATCCTGAGACTAAAATTCTCAGAACATATGCTGAAATGGTGGTAGAGCCTATATTGTCAACTTTTTTGATAAACAGTTTATTATTTAGGAACCAGATATAATGTATTTCAATTCCAGAACCACTAAAATATTGCTACCCATTTAAAAAAGTTTAATGCCATAATGTAGTAATTGAAAATACAGGAATACCTGGGCATGTAGACAATTTCAGGATAAAAAATTCGTAAAGACTGAAGAGGACGTAGAAATCTAGGTTCTGTATATTTTGCCCAAGGTTTCACTAATATCTGCTTTTGTGTTTAAATAAAATATCATATTTGTCATCAACAGTTCAATTAGCTTCTGTGCTAGTAGAATTGAGGTCTCATAGTCATAGTTTACTAGTAATTAAAATCACACAACATATATTTCCACAGTCAGCACTTAACAAGTAATTGTTAAGATATGCAGAGTTAAGTCTTCATCACTTTTACCTCACCTCACAACTTTACCATACTATGTTGTTAGAGTGAAGAAGTGTTTTTTTACCTGTCTATCATATTTATTGAGCACCAAGCGTGTGCTATGAATGTAAATCTTAATTTGTTAACTCACTACAACAAAAAGCTCAGAAGAAAGAAGTATTTAGAGATAATGAAAATATGGAAGACTAAAGGGTGGCTAATTTTTTTTTTTTTTGCAAGAGACAAGTGTAAGGAGTTTATATAGAGAGAAAGGTAATAGATGAACCAGAAAACATTTGGGCGGGGCACAAGATTTGTTATCAATCAGATGTGTTAAATTTTAGATTTGTCATTTAATAGCTGGAAGATCTTAGAGAAAATTGCTAAATCTTTCTCAAGCTCTATTTTTTTTTTAGAATTTTTTGAGACAAGGTTTTGCTATGTAGCCCTGGCTGCACTGGCACTTGCTGGCCTTGAACTAATACAATCTTCCTGTCTCAGCTTCCTGAGTGCTACAAAATAATTTTAACAAATTGTTATGAAGGCTAAGTGAATTCATGAAAAGAATATACCTGTAGAATAGTAGGCTTTTAAGAAATGGTAGTTGTTTGCTTTGGTTGATATCAAGACTAAATTGTGGCCAGGTGTGGTGGCTAATGCTCATCATCCCAGCACTCTGAGGTGAGGCAGGAGAATCATTGTGATTTCAAGATCAGCCAGGGCTACCAAGTGAGAGTGATACTCTGTCTCAAAAAGCTATAAAAAAGTCTTAAAAAAAGAAAGAAAAAAAGAAAAAAAATTGAAAGAAAGAAACGAAAAGAAAGAAAGCGAAAGAAAAGATGGAAAGAAAAAAACTAAATTGCATCAGGATGTCTGGGAAAGGAGAGATAATGTGTGATGATTTTAGTAGAGCATGTGACTTTAGATGGTGGCAATTAAGATGAAGACAGAAAAACATAAGTCAGATAGTAAAACATTTACTTTCTGAGCTAAGAAGTTTGTACATTTTACTAGAGATGATGGAGAATCTTTCAAGAACTTTGATCACTAGGCTGACAGTAGTGAGAATGTATTGTCATGCAAGACAGAGTATGAACTTAGAATCAGAAAGACTAGCTAAGAGTATATGTTATCAGATTAAGGAAACATTCTAAGACTTGACCTGAAGCACCTGCAAGGCTTTCAGAGCAAGATTTAAAAATATTTTAGATAGATTAAGGACTCGTCACCTCATTTAAACTTAGGAGGAATAGAATCTAGCAAAAGCATAGAATAGTTTTTGAATTTTTAAAAGATGAGCGAGATGGTTATATGCTAAAAAGAATGTTGCATGAAGAAGTACTTATCAAAGTTAAATATTATGTCTGTATGTACTTGGTGCTGATATAGAATATTGTGTTTTGTGCATATTGACTTTGTGCTGTATAACTGTATTCCTAGTTCATGAGTCAAAGTAATATCCATTCATTCAATTGTAGTTTCATAATATAGGTGATTCGGTTTATTTATGAAATGCTTATAACCACAGTAAAAGACAAATTTATCTAGAAAACATTTACTGTGCTCCATTATTTTCCAGAAATTGTGCTAAATGCTGAGAGGGAAAAAACAAAACCTATGTGTTTATTGATGTCATGAAGAAAAATCAGGGTGAGGCTAGCTAGTTATTAAGATGGTGCTTTAGACAGGATGGTCATGCAAAGATGCTCTGAAGTGAGACATGAACAGCAAACTTGTTGGGTAGTGTAATGGGGGTTATTAATTACCCCGGAAAAGCCTCAGAGAGGAGCAGATTGATTTAAATTAAGAGTTGTTTTAAGTAGGCAGAATTTGAATGACGTATTAGATATCTAAGTAGAGATGTTGACCATGCTGTGAGTGAAGCAATCTTAATTTCAATAAACTCTGTGACTAATAATTTTGGACATCCTCCGTGTACAGATGGGATTTGAGTTGTGGGTATGAATGCGAAAAGGAATGAGCTAGAAAATTAGGAAAGATAGATGTCAGTGACTGATTACTGAAGTTGCAGTGGTCAGAGGTTAGGACGATGAGAGATAATACACCAAAAGAGACTGATAAGTAATTGCCAATAATGTGGGAGGAAAGTGAACAGTGTTGTTTTGGAGGTCAGGTGACAAAAATATTTAAAGAAGAAGGGAGTTATGAAGTGTATTAAATGCTGGTAAGTGACCAGGCACATTGAACGTAGTATCAGCACATTTTTGCCGATGGGAATAAGCCAGTGAGAGGAAAATAGGTAATGTGGAAGAGAGGGAGGAGAGTTCCAGAACTAATCCTGTAAGCAAGAGGGGAATAAGATTCAGGGCTCAACAGCATTGAATTTCATTATGTACACCACCAGATTTACCAAACATATATTTATTCACATAAATGCGTGCACACACTCACACATTCTCAAGGTTTATAGACTCATGCTCTCATTATTTTGGAAAGCTTTCACTTTTGAAAAACCTTGTTCTTAAAGCTCATTTTCTCCATGGATTTTTAACAGAAGGAGAGGACACTATTACTAATTCTTATTTGAATTCCCTGCCAACCTCTGTGGCCTCTCTGCTTCCTTAGCACTCGACACCAGATGGTGAAATAAATGGAAGGCACAGTTCAGTGTTCTTTACTAGAGCAGCACAACAGCTCTAGGTGTAGAAGGGGCAAGGAGGTGGTGTTACACGCAACAAGTTAGAAACCTTTCCAAGGTACTGAGCTGGTTTGGCTACCCTCACAATTGCTGTTTCAAGTTTCTAGAAAGTGTCAAAAGATGGAATAACTTTGTAACTTTGAGTGTTGAAATGTGTTTTCTCTGAAGGTTTTTTATCATCCACTCCGTGTGTCAGTCCAAACTTAATTTATCTTCATTACATTACTAGAACCAAGGGCAGTGCATAGCTTAGAGTAGCAAAGGAGCAAAGAGGAACGTGAAGACTGAAAAAATATTGTCACTACAGAGACTGTATTCTGAGATGGCAAGGCAAAGGGGCTGCAGTTGGACACCCTGCCTTTGTTGTCACGGGTAGACTTGACTAAATGGCTTGTGTGTGTGTGTGGCGGGGGGGGGGGAGTTGTGCAATATACAGGGGAATGCACATGCTTGAACCATAGTGTAAGGGAGACCATGACCATCAGGAGCATCTGGAGTGAGACAAGCTGGAGTGGGAGGGTGGAGTATATAGATACACTAATTTCTTTTAGAGCATCACCTCCTGCCTCTAGCTTCCACTTGGCAAACGTAATAGAGCCAAATCCCGGCCCTAGTAGTATCAGTCACTAGGTACCAAAATGGGCGTGGCTCGTTGTATAAAACACCTGTTTCCTCTAGAGTCCTGCAAGCGGATCCTCCCCTACTTGGGACTCCGGAAGCGCTCCTCAGAGTCCCCCAGTTCCCGCACCCTTTTTGGGAGTGCTCCCGCCAGCAAGGCTGCTCTGTAGTCGGGGGAGGGCCTGCTGAGCATGTGTGAGGAGCAGCGCGCATGCTCCCTGGAGTGGGCAGGTTTAGCAGGCGCTAGCAGAGGGTTTTACTACTGTTCGCCAGCCTCCCCCGCCCAGCACACCCCCTCCCCTGCTTCCCGCCCCCTGCACGCGCACCCGCATCTAGCCCGCCCCTCCTCCCCACCTCCTCCACCGGGGGCTGGGGAACCTCCATTGACGTGCGGGTGACGCCGCCGCGCCGCCACCGCCGCCGACGCCGCGGGGGTTCCAGGCGCCGCACAGGTAACGCCGCCATATTGGCGGCGCGGGGAGTGGGGAGGGGGCCCCGGAGCGGGAGTGGCGCGGCGGCGGAACTGGGGGGCGGGGGGCGGCGGGCGGGGGGAGCGCGGAGGGCGGCGGGCTGAAGGAGGCTCAGAGTTGTCTTCTCTATGGGTGCAGCTGCGGGCGGCGGAGACCCCCTGCTCCCAGCCTCTGCGGGACCCGGCGGCGAGTGCAGCGGTCGCTGAAGGCGGGGCTGGGGGTCGAGGCGGCGGGCCAGCTCTCCGGACGGGATGCGCGGCTGCGCTGGAGGTTGGCAGCTCCAGTTCGAGTGCTCCTGAAGGGGAGATGCTACCGTTCGCTCCCCCGGAGGAGCCCTGGGACCAAGAAATGGAGGTGTTCGGCAGCGGCGAAGCGAGCAGTGGCGAGGTTAGTGCGGTGGGCGGGACTGGCTGCAATTCCGCAGCCCCGCGTCCCGGGGAGCCTGGTCCTCCGTGAAGACCGGGTGCAGGGCGAACCTCCCGGGGGGCTGCCTGGACCTGGCTCCGGCGGAGTGAGGGTGGGAGTGGGACGGGGCTGCGAGCTGCAGCCTGCACAGCCCGTGCCTCCCGGCTTGGCCTCCGCAGCTTCTTGTGGCCGCGCAGGAGTTTGTTGTCACTAAGTTTCTTCACTTTGCAACCCGAAGCGGGACCTGGGGAAGCTCCCGTGCGGTGCTGTGCCTGACTCCGCTGTCCCTCCTAGTGCAGCGCTGCCTTGCTCGCTCCCAGCCCGAGCCGGGGATCACCGCTCGCTGTGCAAGTCCGGAGCTTTCTGAACTCAGGGCAACAAAAACACGCCAAGGTGACTAAGTAACTCTGGGGACTTGCACCCGTAGGGACTACTGCTCCTTGGTAACAGCACTCTCATTTCTTTGTAGCCTGCTGTTTGCTTCTTTTTCTTCCTTTCACCTCCAGTGGAGAGGAACTGGCAGCCGGTTTTATCTCCGTGCAGGAGGTTTGTTGCCGTCTCTTCTCCTTCCTGGGCTCTGCCGCTTCTTACTTCGACCTTTCACCTTTCCCCTATTAGGATCTCTGGCCCTTTGGTGGGTGCCGGAGGCGAAGAAAGTGATTCCCAGCCCCTCTGAAGAGACGATTTTTAGCAAGGCTTAGTCAAAGTTCAGCCAAAATATTTTCGTTTCTCTCTTTTCCCGCCCTTCTTTACTTCTGAAACTGAACAGTTCGTGCTTTGCCCCTGGGCCCTGAGAGCTTAGACATGCACAAGTATTGTGTTCTTTGTTACAAAAGAAGGTAACATTTAAATACAAAACGTGTTTATTGTGATACAAAGTTGGATCTTTCCTGGGCACTTAACGGGGTACTACTCCAGTAGAGGCCACCATACACATCCGAAAATAGTTGTTGAATGCCACTTTGATTCACAGCACGATATTTTGAGGTAAGATTCAAAATCCTCAAAATCTCAAGGGTGAGCCTTTGTCTCCAAGTTTTGCTCCATTAAAAAAATACACTTTGGGTTATTGAATGATTATTTTTGTTCCTTTTCCCTTTGCATTTTTTCATGTGAACTGAGGTTACATTACATGTTAGAATAACGTGGAAGAAGAAATTCTGTGAAAATCAATTGAGAAGTACCCTGTTGAGCCCTTTATATCGATAAGAAATATTTTATTAAACTAAACAAGTCTGACATGTTTTGATAGTTCACATCTCTTACAAATGGGATAATATGAGATAAATAAACAGGAGTTAATTTTATATTAAAATGTTGGAATGCTAACTGCTTGTATAAAATTTCCAGCAAGATTGTTCATCAAGGGGAAAAGGATTTTGTTTCATATATTCATGTATGTAATGTATTGATTTTTAAATCACAGTTATTTAGTTTGCATAAAGGGTCAAATGCTTTAATTATAAGGATGGAATGGGAAGTAGGGATTTTTCACATGTCTACTTTTTTTTTTTAACTTTGGATGTAGTGTGTTCTAAAGTGGTTGTTTTATTTGCAGTGTGTTTTAGGTATTGTAGATATTTTACACTAGGTCTTTGTATATCTGCAATTTGGAAATATACTCAGGTGGAAATTGTTGATTCCTAAAAAGTAAAAATGTGAAGGTAATGTGCTAAAGATAGCAATTCTGCTTTCTTTGTCCAAAACAGTTATGAATCGTTGGATTTAACCCTGTAAATGACTTAAATAAAAATATTCTGGATGAAATTTTAATGCTATATTTTGGAAGTCCCTTTTAGTACTTCAGAAGAGTTTTCATTTGTTGTAATGGTATTCTGTCGATAAGAAAACAGTTTTGCTTTCTAGAATTTATATTTTCATTGCATCTTTTGATGTAGACTATGCTAGGAATGCTAGCTTTATGAACTTTACAACCCTCAGTTGTGATAGTTTTTAGGACAAAGGTGTTTGTTTCTATGGTTTTGCTAGAATCCTTAAACTGTGGGTCTGTATCTGTTTATTTTAATGCCAAAAGAAGCAATTTTTGTGTTGAATATTGGTATGGTTAATGATTATAGACACTGTCATGTATTTTAGAGTCTTTTAGTATCTTACTTGTCTTGATTGTATGAGCAGTTGATAACCTTTGTATTACTATTCAGCAGTGTGTAAATTGGCTGTTTGAGACTCTTAATGTGTTTTCCCACAAGAAATACCTTGGATAGTTACATTTTTAGACTAATGCACAATAGCAAGGTATGCAGATGTTTGAATTTTTTTCCTATAGTATACGTGTTAGGGCTTCAATCAAGAACTACTTTGGTTCCAGTGAAAGGTGGAGAATGGGCCAGACAAAAAAGGAAGCATGGGCTCCTTTGGCTCCTGGGAGAAGAATTTTTGGAAACAGGGAAAAGGGTATTCTGGTTCTGAGAGTTTTTGCAGGGCCTGTCTCAATTTGGTCTGCTGGGAATAGGAACTTCAAAGGGCATCACCCCTTAGGCAGCCATAATTTTAGCTCTTGCCTGGATTCTGTCAGGATCAGCGAAGAGGTGTTATTTGAGATGGGATGGATATTGGTTGTTCCTGGGCAAGGGTCATAAAGAACAGCTTGTTTGATTACCATGAACTTTTCATGAATTATTTCCAGGAAAATTACAGTTTTTATAATTAGTTGTTCATTTTTTGGTGAGGGAATATTGCTTCCTTATGGAGGAATTGATTATATAGTATTTTGAAATTACCTACCACATAATAAATACTGTATTTATTTCTGATATTTTTATATTATCAATATGATTTTAGTTTAGGGAACTAGTTTTGAGAGTATTTAGTTCATTGTTGAAAGCAGTTTGAGGTCAAAGCTAAAGATGTTAACATTTTAACCAGGATAGACTGAGAAAAATCACATTTTCATTTTTATGACACTGTCTGGCAATACAAGAACGAGCATGAACTTGGAAGGCAGGTAAACCTGTATTCCAATCCCACTCCATCCCCCCACAATACAATAGATATGTGACCTCATACACATTACCATAGCTACTTGAATCTCAGTTTCTTCATCTATAAATGGGAAGAAAGGAAACATTTTCAAAAGTTGTTCAGTAAAGGAAATTCGGTACTGGCTTTAATACACTCAGTATCCTGATTTTCATACAGTATGTGTCTTTTATATACAATAAAAATTCCATTTATTTCCCACTAAATTCTGAATTATTGCCACTTATATCAAAATCGTAGAGGTTTAGTTAACTATAACTGTAGTCTCAGCCTTTCCTTCAATGAGTTTTTTATTAAAGACCTTCCTAAATCTGATCAGTTCATCTAAGGATATTGATGCTTTCATTCTGCGTATTCGTAATTACAGACCCGGTGATACAGAGATAAAAGAAGAGGTTATATTTAGGAATACTTTGCGGGCTAAGAAGACACAAATTTTATTATTGTAAGTGGCTAAATGAGGTGTTTCATTGATACTCAGTTTTGTAAGTTTTTTTTTTTAAATTCTGTTTGGAAGTCTTACAGTAGTAAATAGTTTAATTCATCTAGTGTGATTTTTTTTTTTTGGTACGGGCAACACACTATATAGTGTTGCAATGTGAAATGCCTAAAGATGTGTTACTGAATCCTATTCTGCTCTCATTGGTTTATATTTAGGTGAGCAAGACAGGAATTATAGAAATTGTTATTATAAATGGCATAAGGCCATTAAAATACAGGTGGAGTGATGGTGATGGTGATGATTGTTTAGGGATAGGTCTGATAAAGCCTTGTGAAGGAGGTTGAATTTAATCAGTGTATTGTAACTGATATCATTTGCATAGTGATGAACATATTTCCAGGGGCTGGAGACAGTGTAAACAAAATCATAGGCTAGTTTTGAAAGTTGGAATGTGATATTGCTGTGGTGTAGACATAGGGATACAGTGTGAGATGACATGGGGCCAGACTGTATAGGTCTTTTAAAACCAGTTTAAAGATGAAATTTTATTTTGTAAGTTAGAACCACTGTTCTTTTTTTAGGACATAGCTTGCATCAACATTTATGCTTTGGAAAATAACTGATGGCAGTGTGGAGGATGAATTGGAATAGGGGAGGTGCTGAAGGTGGAGAATATCAGCTTGGAAACTATTGTGCTCCTAGAAGTGGTAGTCAGATCTGTGAAGTAGAACAGAAGGGCTGGCAAGATAACTAATGAGAGGGATCTAGCCAAAATAGAATAGGTAGAGTTTAGTAAGTAATCAGATGTTGGAGAATAAGGGTAGGCCAGGCAACTGAGATTGGAGTCTGATCATGGGAATTAATTCAGTTTCATGGGTAATGTGTGCTGCTAATATAGATCTATTCTAGCCAGTAGACTAGTAGAGAAAAATACATGTTTGTGGCACAGGGAGATAGAGAACAAGGTGAACTTCCTCCCTCTCTAGTATTGTTTTCAACAATACCAGACCACTCTTGTGTGGCCATGCTCTTTAATACCGATGCACTTATTGTTAGCTGAAATTATTCATGTATTTAAAAGGCCTTACACACATTCTTCCTGTTTCACCAATCTTCATTTTATTTTCACACATTAATTCACAATTTAAATAGTGAATAGCCATGTATGGTAGAATGCTGTTCTGGAATGTGGGTAAAAGAGCCAAGAACATCCGTATTTCTTGTGTGTTTTGGCCAGGTTCATATGGAATGGGCCCCTCCCCCATACAGATCCCTTCCCAGTGCTTCCAAGTGTTGTCTTTCTTTAAAACCAGTCTGGTCTGGAAGTATTCAGGTCAGTTCATCTAGGGCAGGGCCTCTAGATGTCCCTATCTTGATTAGTTCATCAAGAGAAGTAATCATTACCTTACTATTCATAATAGGGCCTGCCAGTGTTGCTGCTGCTTTCTTGGACCATGTTATTTTAAAACTACCTCATTTAACAGCTTCTCTCATCCCTAATTTTGAGGAGGAAATCAAGATACTTTCTTTTCCTATGATT